AATCATGAATAAGAGAGAACACAGGATGCGATGGCGGGGACGGCACAGGATGAAGTTTTAGAAAAGCCTTTGGGAAGGTGACGTTAGGATTGGAAGGACAAAGGTGAAGCATGTCACCTTTGGGCTGAGGGAGCAGGTAACAGGTATGTAAGTTTGGTGCCCAATAGTGTAGAGAGGAGCCAGCAGGAAAAAGATCCTAGAGGGTGAGGAGGGGAAGGGTAAGAACTGACTTGAGGCTCGTGTGGGCCCATTCCTAAAACTGCAGGGTCCTGGAAAGACTGGCAGGCAGAACACTGACCTAGCTCATTAGCTCTGTAGAAGGACGGATGATGGGTGAAAGGAAGCCTGGTGATGAGCCTAGATCTTCCTGAAGCCAAGGCTCGGAGCTTCCCCAGCTCCTGCATCTAGCCACAAGTTGACTGTGCTGACTATCTAAAGAACATGGCGTGGACAGATTTCACTGAGTTTCTATAAACACCACGACCACCACCATCCCTGAGCGCACTTTTCTTGCCTTCTGGACCTACACCCTTCAGCACCTATCCAAGAAGAGTTCCTATCACCAACCACATACCCTTGGTCTAAGGAATGCTGATGGTCCTGGCATTCCTGCCTTGGAAATCACTGTGTCAGTCACTGTGGTAGATCCTGGGGCTTCTGGGGACAAAAAGGACCTAATCTTCGAAGAGCTGACAGCTCAGAGGCGTCGGCTCAGGTCTGAGAGAAACCGGCATTGAGAACTCATCCCCGTGCTCTTTGCATGCCAACCTAGGTCTGGAGAGAGCCAAGGGAGCTTCTCCAAGGAGAATCCTGGGTTATCCCCAAACGAAGCATGCTCAGCTCCAAGGACGTTGGAAAAACTAAAGCCACGAGGCTCATCCCCAGCTCCGACTTGGGAGAAAAGACAGGGATCCCTAGATGGGTTCTACGCAGCAGGTGGCAGAGGATCAGCGGAGTGCGCGGCGAGCGGATGGAGCTCTACAGCTCCCAACCCGGAGCTCCTGCTCCGCAGCGACGCTCCAGTCCGCTGACTGCCTGCAAGGCGCTGCGCCACCTCTCGGCCGGCCGCGCATGCCCGGTGCGACTGTCACTGCATGCTCCAGCAGCTCCAGGAGTTGCGCGTTTGGAAGCACCGGGAGAGACTGGAGCACCACCGCCCAGTCGGGGAGGGAAGCAGGAAGGTGATCCACACACACCCAGCGCCTGAACATCCCCAAGGGAAGTCTGCTCCTAGGAACAGCATCTCAGAGACTTGAGGTAACTTGTCCTGGTCACACAGTTGGGAACAAAGCCTACAACTTCCATTGCCCTGTCTTGTGACTAGGTCTGTAGTGTGCCAACTTGAGGACCCCGGGTGAAAAATCCTTTGCATCTCTTTCACGGGTAGACAGTGTAGGACTGGAAGAAGCTGCTAGAAATGTGTGAAATGTTTGAAAAATGTGGAGCCGGCTGTTTCTGTGAGTCTTTGGTTCATGCAGTCTTAAAGTAGCTGAGATTTACAGTGTCTGCATGAGAACACTAGTGTGAAAACTGGGGCCTGTGTGCAAGAGTTTGGCCCTTTTCTAAGGGACACTGGCAGAGTTAGTCATGTTGTATTCGGGATTGTTAGAGACCACTAGAGACATTAAACCAGCTGGCATGGTGTGCGGTAAAGAAATGTAGAGTTAGGGCAAGGCTGGCAGGACACTAAGGCTGGTGCATGCCCTCTTTTGGTCCAAGTGTTCTTGGCAGAGTTCAAAAAAGAACTCCTGAAGGCACAGTTTTCAAGTGTCGGCAAGATCTAAATCCTCACTGTTCTTCCTTCTCTTCCCCAAACATCCCAACTCCTGCCCTCTTTTTTAGAGCATGCTCCTCCCACTGCTAAGGACTCTTCATCTGCAGACCACCAGAAATGCACCAGGGAGCCTTCCACGGTCCCACCGCCATCCCTTCTCTTGCTTTGCACTCTTTCAAATATGATTACCCAGTTTCGTTTCCCCTTGGCCTACAGCACTACTACAGGTTTGTGTGGCCAGAACCCCGCCCAAAGGGAAGTCCAACCTCTTCCGGCTGACGTACTCAGCTCTTAACATCCAAAGACTAGTTCATTCACAGCTCTCCTACAGCCAGGGCAGACACAACAGGGAGAATGGTTGTTTCTGAAGGCTGTGTGACAGAAATCTGGTTAGCATTTCTGGAGGTTAGAAGTAGAAGGGTACGGTGGCGTTCATCTCTAATCCCAGCACGTGAAAGGCAGAGGCAAGTGGGGTTCCTCTGAGCCAGAGGCCAGCCTGGTCAACACATTGAATTCCAGGCTAGCTAGGGCTACATAGAGACCTTGTCAAACAAAACAAACAAATCTGATCGGCCACGCTGCCAGAAGGGTGGTGTTTCCTCATAAGCTTTCAAGAGAAATGGATTCTTCATGGCTTTTGCAGAATCTGATCAGCCCTAATGGTTTTGATTGACTGTGTAACCATAACTCCAGTCTCTGCCTCTTTTCAATGCTGTCCTCTATGTACCTACACCATTCCTGGCATCTCATTTCTTTTGTCCTCTTCTTCCAAGGACACCTACCATATTGGTCAAGGGCCCACCCCAATGACCTCAACTCTTAATATTGTTTCATGCCTAAAGACTACTTGCCAGGAAGGCTACAGTCATAGGAACAATGGCAGTAGGCTTTGGTATCTTTCTGTAGAGCATAATTCAGTCCATATCAGAAGGGATCTTGGATGAAAAAGATCTTGGGAAGATTACTCTACAGGGTGGAGAAGACAGTGAGTGGCAGCTAAGAGTTTCTGATTACCTCATCCGTGCTCCCCATCTAAAGGGCCTGGAGGAGCAGCACTTCAACCTTCATTGTTTCCTGAAGCCTACTCTATATCCCTGCCTTGCCCTTTCCCAGGCTGCAAATGTCCCTTCTCCAGACCCTCCGAAAACCATTTTACCTCACATTGGGGCTTCAAAGAATTGTGAGAGTTTTCAGCCCCTTCTCAACTGCCAGGGACTGTGACAGTCTAGACCAGTGGTTCTCAACCTTCATAATGTTGCGACCATAAAATTATTTCATTACTACTTCATAACTATAATTTTGCTAATACTGTTGTGAATTGTAATGTCAATATCCGATATGCAGGCCATGACCCACAGGTTGAAAACTGCTAGCCTAGAATGTCTTGTAAAACACAGACAGCTGAGGGGGGGTTTCTAATGTTGACTGATTTTGTTGTTTGTTTGTTTGTTTTTCAAGACAGGATTTCTCTGTGTAGCCTTGGCTGTCCTGGACTCACTTGTAAACCAACCTGGCCTTGAACTCACAGAGATCTCTGCCTGCCTCAGCCTCCCTGAGTGCTAGGATTACAGGAATGTGCCTTGGTACCAGACTTTGTTGGCTGAATTTTACATGAGAAATCAAGGCTCAGGCAGGCTAGAGAGCAGGCCTATAGTAACTCAGGGAAGATTCTAAACAACCGCAGGGCAACCTTTTGTTGACTGAATTTTAAATGAGAAATCAAGGTGCTGGCAGGCTTGGGAGCAGGCCTATAGTAACTCGGAGAAGCTTCCAAACAACCCAAAGGCAATCTTCTATCTATCCTCTTTGATTAAAGAAGGTGGAGCTGTATTGTTTGGGTGGGAATGCCCTGGGGACACAACACTTGGCCTTCTGATTCTCCAATGCATAACTGATTTTCCTGAGTGTGGTTTCTTGTGTCACTAGAGGTTCTCAGGCATGACCAAGAACATGGCCTACTCTTGAGGGAGACTTTGAACTCTGAACCCATTTTTTTCCCCTGAGAGTAAATCCTTTAGCTTACTTAGCAGGAGGGAGATGAGAGAGAGAAAGATAGACAGACAGGAGTAGATCAGGGTGTAGTCAAAGGCATTGCCACATAGAGAAGGGCAAAGCCTTGCTCTCTGCCCAGATTTTCTATGCCCAGCATCTGTTCTTTTGGGGAATGGGGGGACTTGCACTTAAGCAGGCATTGTGACCGTCTGCTCTTCCCAAACTCCATTCATCCAGGTTGGATTTTACCAAAGCCCTGAATCTCCTCCCAGCCTACCCCTATCTAGGAGCTGACCTCCTCCGACCTCCAGAAGAAGGAACTGAAAACCAGTCTTGGCCTCTTTTCTTTCTAGAGCTGTGAGGGTAACTTCTGCCCGTTGTCTATGGAGGATGTGTACTCCACAGTGACGATGCCCCATGCCACCATCTGTCCTTGCTGGAGGGGCAATTATTTTGTGAGGAGCAGCATCAGAGTCACTTATTGTGGGGTCCCTGGCCATATGATTCCCTTCTTCCCTCAGAGAGGGACTATTTAGGGCTGTCTTTTATCCAGTAGACTGCAGGTGTGCGCCTGTGTTACCTGTGGACATTATCGAAACTCAGGAGGAAGACACAAACACCCACAATAAATGAACTCTGCTGACTCCCTCCACCAACCCTTCCCCTGCTCTGACTGTGACAACGTACACTAGACGAGGCCTTAGACTTCGAATAAGGTCTTCCTTAGCTTTAGAAATGACTGGGTCGGAGCTTCGTTGTCTGAGGCCCAGCAGCTAGCTGTATCCAAACCTAGGGCTACAGGCCCATCTCCTACACTAGGACGCCCGAAGAAGCTGTGATAACCGAAGACTTGAGCCCCTTTGTTGTCGCTTCAGTTGCTTGCTGCAGAAATTCAAGCTCCTTGAGGGCAAGCACCAAATCCAACCTCAGCAGGAAGCAGTGCTGGCCAGGCGCCCCGTGCCTGGGTTCCACTGAACCCAAAGGGAAGAGGACTCAGTTCTTTGCAGAGGAGGCTGCGGAGCGTGCAGGACAGAGATGCAGCCGCTGCACCCAGTGGGTGCGACCAAGCCCCAAGCTCAGAGCCCACAGCCCAGGGGCAGTGAAGGGACAACCTCAGGCGCCCGCCTCTCCGCTGCAGTCTTGTCGCACTGCGCACGCGCGCCGCTGGCCCGGCTCCGCCCCCCCGGGTAGGGACCTACAGCGGGCGCGGTGTCGGCGGCGGTCTGCAGGCGGTAGCCGGCGGTGTAGATGCCTGTCCGTGCGCTGAGATCTGGGGCCGTGAGGTGCCGCGGCGTCCGGGTGAGTGGCGGGGCGAGGCGGGACGGTGCGGGACCCGGGAGGGCGCGGCCGGGTGTGGCTCCACGGTCCCGCGTGCGCGCCTCCGGGCTGGGGCGCCTCCCGCCGGGCTAGGCGGGTCGGATCGGAGACCCACGGCCCACCCTGCGGCCTTTGTGCAGCTCCGGCTCTGCCCAGCGACTCAGCGCGCCGGGCGGTTGAGCCGGCTTTTTAAATGATGCCTCGGCCCCGAGCAGGAAGTGTCGTCAGGAGGCCATTTTTAAAGCCTCTCGGCCTCCGAGGCCGGCTTGACGCGGCTCTGGCTCCCAGCGTTTGGAAGACACCCCATCTGCGACTGGCCGGCCCTCGGGAGACGCGACGGTGCGAGCTCTAGCACCCGCGCCACGCTCGGCGCCGTGCAGCGCCCTGGCCTCGCCCGGGAGAGCGTGCATCCCTTGTAGCGCGCCAACAATAAACTTGAGGACCACGCTGGCATTGTCTTTGGAGCGGCTGTCGGGGTGGGCCATATCCACGGAGGACCTAATCCTGGGTGGGATGAAGCTCATGTCACCTTTTGTGGGACGGCTCCATACCAGCCTTTCAGTTTGATCTTGTTGCCTGGAGTTGAGGGGTGGTGCGGATTAACACTAGGGAAAGGGTGCAGAAGAGGAGAGAGAACCAATGAAAAGTTTATGACCCGAAAAGAGAAAACCAAAAGATAAAAAATATCGACACCCCCCCCCCCATGTTTGTTAGGTATTTGACATACCCATTTAAATTACTAGTGCTATTAACAAATAGGATACCAAGGGTATTTATCATTTAAAAAAAAAAAGTGAAACCTAAAGCCCGTTGTTCTACTGAAAAAGAGCCTACCAACCCAAACTCGGTGTTGCGTTTGAGGCCTTAAAACATTACACCTTAAGTTTAGAGCTGAAATCACCTGAGAAGAAAATTCCCTGAGCGCCAGTAGCTTGCAACACTTGGCTACAGAAGAGCAACCAGGTAACTTGGGAAAGTGTCTCTGCCCCTCCAATTCGCACATACAAAATTAAGCCCAGTCCAGGGCCATACAGGAGGGCATGCCTGGAAGCCCAAAATGTATTTATATGCTTAAAGTGCCATATTCAGCTTTTTAAATTGAAGGCATTATCTTTATCCAAGACATGCATTTATTAAAAAGATTTTTTTTTTTTATCTTGGCTCTGATGTGTTAGCCCTGACATTTGATATACCCAGCCTTGTTATGCTGGAGTAAAGGAGAGCTTTGTCTTCTCTGTGCCTTCCTCCTGAATATCACTCATTTTAAAGCCCATTTAAAGAAACCTGTATTTTCTTTCTTGTCTGTTTGCCTTTAAGAAAGAGGGTCTGGGACAGTGTTTGTGCAAAAGGCAGAACAAAGAGCAGGTTAACAATTGTCACTGTGAAGGCTGCCATTTTCTTCACCCATTCCCTTATCCTCTGAGCCAATCCAATGGCGGGCCTTTCATCGCCATGTCTGCCATGATGGCTAAGCTGGGTCCTTTCCACTTTCCAGTGAGGACTCTCCCAGCCTCAACTGTTCCTAAACTGCCTTTGATCTCCACTGCATGCCACTGCTCCACTGCAAACCCGGCCACCTGCAGAAAAGTGACTGGAGACCATCTAATCCAGACCTTTGTGGGTGGGAGCAGGAGGCCCAGGATAGCCAGGAAGGATTTGAATCAGTCATGTGCCCCACCCCAAGAAAGAAGCCATCCATTTCGTTTAGGTCATAGGGTTCCTGGGAACCCTTCCTTTTTAAGCTTAGACTGGCTGCCATTGGGAAGCATTTTGAAGGTTTGTTTTGTCTTTTCTATAACAAACGTATCCAAGAGACCACAGCGTGCAGATCCCAGACTTATGCCAAAGTGTCTGACTCTGTTGCAGGCCTGTTGGCGCAGCACTGGCTTCTGAGCATAGATGTCTACACCACAGCTTGAAGTCCTGAGACCTGTGGTCCTCAGTGGTTAATAAGGGCTGAAAGAAGAGGAAGAGCCACAGAGACTTGCCACACTTTTGACTTCTGGGCCTGGAATAACAGTGCCCAAGAGGCCAGGAATCCTGGCTGTGACCTCAGCACACAGGACAGAGTTTTAACTGGATGCTGTCTGCCACCACTTTCCACCTCAGTATGACCTACAAAATCCACGTACCATCTCCAGGCCTATTGTTTTGAACAAAGCAGGTAACTGAAGTTTTGTTTCGAAGTTCGACCAGGAGCTTATGGGCATGCTCCGACAGGCACCCTTCCTGACTGTAGAGTCAAGGTGCTATAGCATCGGCAAGTGGCCAGCCACTGATAGTGCCCTGGTTGGCTTCCTGATAACAGGAATTCCATAATGAATTTGCCCATTTACTTCTGGCTCCAGTCAGACTCCTTAGGGACAGCATCCCATTCGGGGGTGGACTATCAAGAGTCCTCATCTGTGCTCTTTGTACTTGGCCATGCCCAAATGATGTGGCGGGAGAGCAGGAGCATGCGGATTTCAGAATGCTAAGATCTACACCTCACAGAGATGTCTTGTGTTCCTAGGGTTGTGCTGCTGGGCAGGAGCAAAGCCTTGACTCTTACATGTTTAGGCACATTTACTAGTCTAAAGGTGATGGCCTAGCCCCACCTCCAGTGTGAGGTCTACAGAGTAACAGAGTTTTTCTTGACATCCCCACACTGTCCTGCACCTGTCATTCAGATGCTTCCCAACCTGAGTTGCATATTAGACTCTTTTTTGAAGCCTTGTAGACTTGGGTCTGCATTCTGCCCTGCCCCTGCCACTACCTCAGTCAAATCCTAGTCTTTGAAGAATGGGAACCAGGCAGCAGCATTTTGAAAGCCCCCAAGTAACTTCCTTTAAACATTGTGGGCTTATCAAAGACCATATTAGCCTCAATGCAGGCAAAGCCAATGATTCCTCATGTAGATGGAAAGCTTTCTTCTCTTTTATTAAACTATCTATTCCACAAATTTTGGGGGGTTTTCTTTGAGGCCAAAAAGGGAATGAAGGAAATACAAAAATGTGTTCATACTAAATATCTTTAGAGACCTTGGAGCCCTTTGAACATTTCAAATACAAAATTTATACCTACTGTTTGTAATACTTCCCCACCACCACCACCTGTCCTGTGTGTGTGTGTGTGTGTGTGAATAGTCATATATGATGCTAGCAAGCATATTTGCTCATTAATGGTCATCTTTTTTACATTTAAACTACAAGCCTTGAACTTGAAGAACTCCAACCCCAGTCTTACTGTTTCTTTTCTCATAAACTGTTAGAAGTGGCCCATAAAATCCCTTCCTTTGTTTTCTGGTATGGAGGACACTGCTGTTCTCTGCAGAGCCAGATCCTCCTGCAGCCTTGCAGAGGAACACCTGGGAGCTTCTAACCTCTGAGCAAGTCCTCTGTATGCAGACCTTTCTTCTTTGTTTGATTTTTTTGTTTGTTTGTTTGTTTTATTGTTGCTGTTGTTTTTACATTATATGCTCCTCGGTGGAACTTTACTGGATGCTTACATTTAAAGGAGTCTCACCAAAATGTTGTCATTTCCTGACAAGACAGGCTCTTTGTTAATAGCCCCTTGCATTTAGTTTTGTTTGTTTGTTTTCATTCATCCTCACATCAGCCATGTGGTAAATTATCTCTTTTTACAACTACAGAAACTCGGGCTAAGCTAGGTTAAAAGTCTAAAATCACACGACTAGCTAGCTAACAAGCCAAAGACCTACCCCCCTTTGACCCTTGCCTTTAGTTTCCCAAGGTCCTGTGCTGTGCACTCTTAAATTGCCGTCACTGAGAAAGCAGACAGTCAGACTGTCACAGCTTCTGTTCTGTTGCCCTGGCAATAACCTGCTTTCAGAAGATAGTGAGATCCTGGGGACGATGTGTTTGTCAGTGGCATTTGGACATGCTTCTTGTCATTGAGGTAGAAGTCAGCCTTAATCATTCCTGAGTGCAAGGTGTTTCGTCCTGAAGAGTCTCCTGCATGATTGGCATTTCCTGTTTAGGCCTCCTTCTCCATCAGTTCTCATTTGTGGTCATTGAAGTACTTGCTCAGGCATTGTTTTATTTAAAGGTCTGGAAGATGATATGCTGTTTATAAGTCTACAGTGGCATCTTCCACATCCAGCCTTACATCTTCACGCCTCTTGCTGTTGTAGGGTCAAATGGTGTTTAAAGGGTTCGCTGAGAGGGGCAGATGAGACAAGTCATAAACAGAAGGAATGCATAGATAGAGCTTGTGACGGGTACACTGCCCCTTGCCTGGCAGTGAAAAGAAAAGAGAGAAATCACTTGCCAAGGGATTCAGCCAGTAAAGGCTGAAGAGTTAAACTTCCAGCAGCTTCCTTTGTTCTTCTTGGGTTCATAAGCAAAATCCCTACCCCAGTGATGGATGTGGGCAGAACCACACCAAAGGAGGAATCCTGGATCAGAATGCCCACAAAAAGCTATAGCCACTCATCTGTCATGTGCTTCAATGGGTGAGCTATCAGTGTCCAGCCTCGCTCTTTCCTCAATGGCATCCAGAGGGGACACTTACTACACTCCTGTTTCATGGTGTGAGCTTTCACTAAGGAAGGTGGGGAAAGCCTGGTTTAGTGCCTTTTGTCCCGTGGTGATTAATGCCATTACCACTGAAGCTGATGTGTAGTTTCTACCTGGGTCAGTCGCAATTATATGATCAGACAAATAGTGTTAAAATGCAAGGTGACACTCAGCTATATTCCAGAAAGACCCATGGTCAGTAGCTGAGAAACCTATGCTTGGCATAATTTCTTCATTAAAAATGGAAAGTAACATTTAATGAGACTTGGTGGGCCAACTGCTTTCCCAACCCCTTTCCCTTGCGTTATAATAGTTACCTGTACTGCCTACCCTGTGTTGGAAGCCAGGGAGCAGTGTGCCCCAGGTCACACACTAGCAAGTGTTGGCACTGCGGGTTAAAACCCTGCATTGTTTCTATAATGATAACGTGAGACCTAGTCTTACACACTTGGCCATTTCTGATTTGTTGAACTCTTACTATGCATTGGGAAGCCATAGGCTTCCTTCTTAGAAATGAATTCAAACTTTCATGTCCTTGACTAGCTTTCAGTGAACTGGATCTTCAAGTAAAATTTTTCCTCCTTGTGTTCCTGCAATAATTATCTAAGAAATTAATACAAGTGAGCTCAAAGAAAAAAAAAAATTTAAGCCTTACCCATAGTGCATGCAAGTAAACTCCCACTCCACCTCAGTGCTGAGAGCCAGTTTGTGGCACACAAAACCATTCCTATGCGACGGTACATGACAGTCATCTTTAGCTTTTGCTATAGATAATTCTGTTACTAAAAAGCTCTTTATATGCTGCTAAGTCATTTATTATGGAAACAGACAAGTTAATGTTAAATGGATCTCCTACTGGGCCATTACATTAACAGTACTGAGTCCTTCTAAGCTAACTGAAAGGCAGAAAAAAAAATGGTCCTGCCCTAGGAGCTGTGACTTTGGAGGTCAGTGAACTCTGCCACTAATGTCTTGAGTGCCCTCCACAGTAAGTGGGTCCATGTACAGCCCTCTGTCAACAGTGTCTTATGTCATCCTTCGCCTTCAATCCATTGATAGTATAACTGGGCACAGGAATTCAGCTTTACAGGTAATTGGGTATGAACCAAACGAAGGACTTGTATGCAAGAAAGGAGGCTCTCACTCAGGAGTGTTGGCTGTACCTGAATAGTGTTCTCACGTCCATCCCAGCTACTGCCCTTTTCCCATGCTGCTGCTTCTACTTACTGTTTCCTTGGGGCATTCACACTGCAGCTGTGTTCTGTCCTGCACCTGGCCACACAAACTACAAAGATCAGCTAGAACTTTAAAGAACCCCCCCTCCTCTTTCCACTATGAGGGGAAAGCAGAGTAATTGCACCAAAAACAGCTTAAAAGTGTAGAGGACACTGAAATCGTTTGCAGCCTAAATGTCTGCCTTCTCTCTACAAGGATAAGCTGATCAGTCTCAAATCTCACATTTAGACATATTTACTTAAGATACAAGTTGTCCCCAACTTATGACAGTTCCCCCTAGGACTCTGACTTCATGACCGTCTATATGTGGGGTGCATGCAGCAGGAACCATACTTCTGGGTTTGTTTTTTGGACCTTTTATTAGGCTGCCCATATGCAACAGAGCACTTTTGTGACGTCAGGCAGCAGCTGTGACCTGGAGCTCATGGGCAGCCATGCTGACACAGGCGTAAGCCATCAATACTGTGCCATGAACTGTATTCAAAAATGAAATGATGTGGGGGTTTTTTTTATTATAAACTACCTAGCTGTGTGCTAGGTAGCATTCTTAGTTGAAAATGGGCTCTGCTGTGTTTCGCGGTGCTGTAGGCCAGGTGTGTTAAGTTCGTGTTTCACTGAGGATATTTTCAGCTTGTGGCGGGTTATAACCCCCTTGGAAGTTGGGGAGTATATGGAACTGCCTAAATGGTTTTGCAGAGATGGTACCACAGCATCCTGGCTGTTCCTCAGCCAGTTGGTGCTGGCCAGATTGTCTAGAGACACTTCTTCAGGATGCTCTCTACTTCTTCCTGCTGGTCCTGGCCCTACTGGCTAAGTCTATTTAACATTTTAAAAGGATTGAGAGCCTCCAAGTGAAAGGATTGGGCAAGAATGTGGAAAATGTGTTTCCCTTCTTGAAAAGCTTTGCAGGTGGGGATCTTTGACAACTACTTAGAGTTAATGTACATGTAATGAGGTACTGCATTGAAACCATCAATAAGCTGTGGAGGACAAGTGCTTAAAATAACACACCACCAGTACTGCTGCTGTCCATGTTTTAAGGTTATGAGGCTGGTAGATAAGAGTAGACATTGCCATAGTGATTGGGTGTAGATCTTTGGGACAGTACTGAGAACCAAGAACTGCCTGGCTAAAAGTGCAGGTTAGTAGTTGGCCCAGCAAGAGTAAGTCATTTGTTTACCTGAAAGGTGAGTTACAAGAACCCATCTTCATCTTCATTACAGGGTGAGTTTTTGACAATGAAAACAAAATTATGATTGAGGAGGGAAGGATTTAGGAGCTTAGAGTAGCTAGTGTGTCAAAGGTGGGGATGTTCGAAGGACTTGAATAGCTCTGGAAGCTACCGATTTCATCTGCCTGCAGGCTTTCATCAGAGTTACCTGGTGCCTTCACTAATGCTGCTTTAACAGCTGCCTCTCTCCTGAGAGGGAATACATCCCAGGAATCTCTGTGTTTACATGGCTCTTGGGTTCCTCAAGCTTCAGGACCTCCGAACACGAGCCCTATGTCCTGATTTCAGCCTCTGCATTCTATGGCCCTGTGGTTTTCCAGACCCTACTTGCAGTTAATGGCATCTTCATGAAACTGCTGGGGAGAACATGTTGAAGATACTCGTGCTCTTGAATTATAAAGTCTGATTGCAGAGACCAGCAGTCTCGGGCTTAGAAACCTAGTCCAGGCTTGTGTCCTGCAGATGAGAAAACAAATGCACATAGGTCATTGCTTGAGGTCACTTCAGGTGTAGTTGAGTTCTAGTGGTTACCCTGTGTCCTTTCACATGTGCCTGTTTACAGATCTGAAAAGCAAAGAGTATGTCTGCTTCCTCTCCTGATGCCCCTGAAAAGCATCTTTACATCTACACCAGGGTTCAAAGTGTAGAAAGACTGGTCTCTGCTGTCAGTTGGAAGCATTCATATGTTCTGTGCAAAGCATGGTCCTCTGGCACACATATATGCTTGAACCTGGAGGGGTCAGACAGCACTTGCAGCCTTCAAGGCCTTTGTCTCCTTGATGCCTTGTCTGGTATCGGGACTTTGCTATGTGTTGGTAGCTGCTTTGGGTGAAGGTAACATCACTCACCAGAGTAGGACACAAAAGGGAGTACTGCAGATGACATCACAGCTTGTCCTTAAGTGTAGGGTCTCCGATGTTTCTCAGAGCTGCATTTCAAGGGTTTTATGCCACACTGAATGTGCAGCAGGGAGACCTGTGGCTGCCCTGAGCTGATCTTTCAGACAGCTTTGTGTAGTTCTTGGCTTGACCATTCTATGCCAGAAGAAGCTGTGGCTTCTCTCTCACTCTCCTGCCTTGTGGAGACAGTCATTCTTGCAGCTCTGTTGCTGTATGAAGTTTTCTTGGTCCTCATTGCCAGCAATTGAAGAAAATTGCTTAAATGATGACAGGCTTCTTAGTTTGTTTGTGATCATTAAAGACCAGTTTCCAGCCGACTCCAATCAAGAAGTATTGTTGGGTTCCTAGTTTGTATCTTCTGAGTAAAGTGTCTGTACACTATACTGTCAGCCACTGTGTAACATGTACAAGATCATGGAAGATCTTACTTGTTCTAGAAGATACATGTTTCCTCTCCTGGTCTAACCCAAGGCATCATGGCCCACAGCTGCCATGTAGTCCTTTGCATGCTCTAGTCCTCCCAGATCAGATGGATGCTGTTATGACAGAACCTGTCATTCTGCTGACCCCAGTCTCTTTCCCAGCTCTCTGTCACATGTACAGGAGAAGCTATTGTCCTGTGAGGCTGTGCCCCATTCTGGCCATTCTACAGCCCCGACCTCAACCCCTTGCTGATTCTCCAAGAGTTCCAGGCCTACTTCCTACCCATGGTGTCCTTCTCTCTGTTTGACACACCCTTTTCCTGGACCCCCACAGAACTCAGTCCCTGGCTGCCTCAGGTCTCGATGTCCTCTCTCCACCCAGCCGTGAAGCCTCCTCACCTTGCTTTTTGATATTTCTTTACCAGTTCAGTTGTGCGTGTGTGTGTTTAACTGCCATTTGACAACTGAAGGAAGGAACCACTACCCTTACGTAAGCTTCATAAGGGGAAGACAGTGTTTGCCCATTTTTAAGCATTTTTAAATCTATTGCTTGTGTACTCGTGCCAAAAAACATGTGTGGCAGTGAGGGAACCACTTTGTGGAATGGGTTTTCTCCTCCTACCATGTGGGCTCTAGGAGTAGAACCCAGGCCGCCAGTGTTGGTACTGGTTGTATTTACCCAGTGAACCATCTCTCGATCACTACCCTCCAGCTCACAGAGAGAGCACCTAGCACTATGATGGAGGCCCCTGAGATGATAAAGAAATCACTGTGTTTGAGTCAGTGTTGTTGGCTTCTACCACTTGTGGAAGCAGAGTGGGTGTGTGAATGAGAATTGGCATAAGCAGGTATGTGTGTGAACAACTAACTGTAAGCCCTGGCTCTAGCACTTGGTCACTCCCACTTGAAAACTGAGTTGGCAGTGCCTTTATGGTGTTTGGTGAGGCTCATGTGGCACTACCTACAAAACTGCTAGAATGTACTCACATCAACCAAGCAAAGCATTCCTGAGCTTTCCATAATTTGATCCTGAGCTCCTGCTGATGTCCTTCCTCCTGGTAGCTCAGGCTCACTGTTGGTCTAGAGTGGAGATTTCTGAGTGCCTGAGCTACAGAATCTTTTTTTAGTTTAGGCTTGCCAGCATGGTTGTGTTTGTGTTGCTGCACTGCAGTAGTTTAGTATACGTGGGGATTCTCTGGGAAGGAGCCATTACGATACAGTGGAAGTAAAGGTAGCTTAGCTAATCCTTGAGCCTCTGTACTAATCATACTTTGGTTTTTTTCCTGTAGTGTTGGCCTGGAAACAGAATTAAAAGCAGTCATATTGTGGCTCATGTGTTTCCTGTGAAAGGACACAAAATGGGATCGATTGTTAAGTATTCCCATAAGAGAAGTGCCTGCTGTTCTACCAGTCACGTGTGCGGAAGGATTCGTGCATCCTTCCGTGACAAAGATTCAGTGACATCTTTCTGACTTTAGTTTCCTCTGTTGGTATGCAGATAAAGAAGATGAAGGATATTGGAGAACAACTGTACTCCACACAAGTGAATGGTGGACCCAGTTCCTTGACCATGTCCCCCAAACAGCCTAATGCTTCTAGAGCCACTCGGCTGGATAGACAGGAAGCACAAACCCTATTGTACCAAGGCTCAGAGGCAGAGGCTGCCACAATGACCATTGCTACTTGTGTACAGTGCAAAAGTGTTCACAAGATTCCACCTCAAGACTTCAGGAAGGGCCCTGGGCAGAGCCAGAAGGAAGATGCTTATGTCTGTTTCAAATGTAGCCTTCAAGCAGTGCCTGCTCAGCTCCATTTTGTGAACAATAACCCCAGTGCTGCCCATGTTAGAAACGAGACGGAAACCATCTCGAGTCCTGTAAATAAATTTAAGGTTAGGAACTTCAAGCCAGGCAAATACTACTGTGATAAATGTCGGTTCTCCACAAAGGATCCGCTGCAGTACAGGAAGCACACGCTGCAGCACGAGGAGATCAAGTTCATCTGTTCTCACTGCAGCTATATCTCCTACACGAAAGGGGAGTTCCAGAGGCACCTGGTGAAGCACACGGGCATCTTCCCTTACCGATGTGAGTACTGTGACTATGGTGCTATTCGCAATGACTACATTGTCAAGCACAGGAGGAGGGTCCACGAGAGGGCAGGTGCCAAACGACCACTCAAAACCGTGGCCAAGCTGGAGCCCAAGAGAACCAGCATTTCAAAACAGGGCGTGGAACTATCAAAGGCTGCTAGTCCCAGGGCTGCCTTCCAAAATAAGTTGTCGGACCAGCTGTCTCGGTTCTCTCTCCATGCCAACAAAGACAAGACACACAATGTGATGTTGTTACCTGAGCTAAAGAAGTATCAAAAAGATGTAGTGTGTATTCCTGAGCCAAGTGAGGTGAGCCTGTTGGGGAATAAGAATGTTGAGGTGGAAGTGCTGTGCCCCTCAAAGGAGCCTGTGCAACCAGGTATGCCATTAACTGTTGTGGCACCCTCGGAGCTGGTGGTCCCCACCAACTGTCTAGCCCAGCTGATTGACGTGAAGGTCGTCAATGGCACACAGCAGCTTGTACTTAAGCTGTTTCCGTTGGAAGAAAACACCCGCCTTGAGACAGGCAGAGGAAATGGAGTTACTGCTGAGTGTATGACTACTGAGAAGGGCTCGGGCAGACAGGAAAAAATGCTCTCTCCAGAAGCAGCGGGGTCACAAGCAATGGAAGGGAATACTGGAGAGTTTGTGGGCCTTGATCGCCTGCACTCTTTGGTTCAGAAACAGCTTAAAAATGTGAAGTGGGTGAAGTCTTGCAATTTCTTCATGCCCAATTCTGGTCTACACAGTCATCAAGAATCTTTTCTAGGTTCTGATACAATTAAAGATTTGCAGAAAACTCACAATTTGTGTCCACCTAGAGCCCTTCCTTCTGTTGCCTTAAAAGGTCATTCTCCAAACTCTGTACAAAACAGTGTTCCCTGTGGTCCAGGAGCCACAGCAAACCCTTTCTTGAATAAAGTAGCTCTTTCTTTTGCTGAAGATGGTAGGGGTTCCCGAAGTGACTCCCAGCAGCTCCTTCCGCTTACCTTGTTGCCTGCGCAGGTTTCCTTCTCTGGAGAGAAGGGCATACTGCCTATAGGTGAAAATGACTTAGAATCCAGGAATAGGATTACTCGTCCTGAAACAATACTTTCCTCTGACAGGAAGCTGGAAGACAAGAAGGTAGAAAGCAAGGCAGTGGGAAATACAGGCCAGGTTTCCTCTGCACAGAAAAAAGAATATTTACGTATAAACATTACTGGGGAAGATAAACTGAGATCCCAGAAGCCTGGGGATCAGCCTGTGCAGAACCCTGAAAAGACAAGTAACACATTTGAAGGTCCGATCATCTCATCAGTATTTTCTCTGAGCTCTGGATCTGAAAATGTGCCAGAGGGCATTAAATGGAATAGTTCAACAACCAAAATAAAGTCCATTGAACTGCTGCGCAGAAAGATAGCACAGTTAATTGAGTCTTGTGGCAAGCCTTCCTCTTTGTCTGCCAACGGTGCTCAACGACGTTCCATAGAGCAGACACCCAAGCTAACTTCAAAAGCAACTCCCACAGCTGTTCAAGAAATGAGTGTGTCCATTTCTGGCCCTGGCCCTGGTCCTGGCCTTAATGTGTGTTCTTTCCAAAAACCTCAGAATGAGAGCAGTGTTACTGGCAGCGGGCACCTTGCTCAGCAGCAGATCTGTCCCCAGTTTGTCAGTGGTGATGATGAGAAAATGGAAAGCAGGGTGATCAGAAAGACTCCTGTTGCTGCGCCAGTGCTGATCCCCAAAGGGGCTGTGTTGAGGGTTCTTAACTCCTCTGAAGATGCTCACATCATCGAGGCTACCTGTGACACACCCGTCAGCATATCCTGCAGCGAAGCAAAACCACTTCCATTCTGCCCAGTGAAACAGACAGGCACAGGCTTCCAGCCCTTGGCATGCAAACGTGGGCCAGCAGACAGGTCTCCAAGTCTGGAGGCATCTCTTAGGCCCAAATCGAGAAAAGAGGACACTCTCTGTAGTACCACCCCTAAGAAGATTATCCCTGTGTACAGCACACAGCCAGGAAGCAGTGACTGCAGCAGGCAAGGAAGGCCAATTTCTAGAAACCTAACTGTAAGTAAGAACAAAACCAAGCAAGTAAGCTCAGCCAAGAAGAAAAACAAGATGCAGGCTGATCCCAGCCGCTATTTCAAAGACCCTTCCTTTTTTCAGGTTGCAAGGCAGCTGCGACTAATAGCTGTCAAACCAGATCAATTGATTAAATGTCCCCGTCGGAACCAGCCGGTCATCGTGTTAAACCATCCTGATGTGGACTCTCCCGAAGTGACCAATGTGATGAAGGTAATCAACAAGTACAAAGGCAATGTCCTCAAGGTTGTCCTGTCTGAAAGGACTAGGTGTCAGCTGGGTGTTCGGCGGCACCATATGAGGCTGACCTACCAGAATGCGGAGGAAGCAAACCACCTGAAGAGACAGATGATGCTGAAAATGAAACTGAAAAAGGTTCATAAAAACAACTACCAGGTGGTGGGCTCATTGCCAGATGACCCTGCTCAGTGTGTGTTTAAGTGCTGGTTCTGTGGGCGCCTCTATGAAGACCAGGAAGAATGGATGAGTCATGGCCAGCGGCATTTGATCGAGGCCACCAGAGACTGGGATGTTCTTTCTTCAAAGGGCAAATGAGTAAAAATTGGTCTTTGAAAATCGGTTTTCTTCTAGTTTTCCTGGCTTAGGGTTGCACCCTAGACCCTCAATGCAGTAGATGAAAGGGGGTTGCCAGAGTCACCATAGGAAAGTTGAGAGACCCTTTCTTATCTGAGCTCTGTGTCTGGACCAGGAGAGGTGTGAGGGCCTTGAAATTCTATTTGCTGTTGGAAGGATGTAATCTGAGGCCTTTCTTGCTTAGTGCTGATTTTTCTGGGTAGACACATGTTTCATAATCCATTTAGAAGGGCAGGTTTATGATTTACAGGCTTCTCAGATGAAAGCTAGTAAAGAGTTAAGCCTCTCTTAGTGCACACATCCACTTTGATTTTTGCATTGACTCTTCCAGAATATTAGGTACATAATAGAAATTACATATTTTTACTTGAAGGGTCATCTTAAATTTGGTTACATGTATGACCCCTCCCACTAGCAGTGTTCTGCGAAGCCATGAGCTTTGCTTTCACTGGTCTTGCATCAGCAACTGGTGTTAGGAAAAGAAGAGACAAATATTCAGTATTTAGCTTTTGCTTGCTTTTAAAATAACTTGATTGGTAATAGTTGGGTAGGAAATATGTAATTGGTTTTTTGTTTTTGTTTTAGGTAAAGAAGGAAAAATATATAAAATTAAGTCTGTTCTCTTATCGGATGCTCCACCAAACATAAATGGCCATTTTAAAATGTGAAGGAGCAGATTCATTAAAACAGATAAACCTTGGTAGTGCCACTCCATGTGGACTTGAAAGCCCGCTGTGAGGGTCTGCTGTGGCTGGCTTTTCACCTGGGGACCTATGCAAAGCCCCAGGGGATGCCACCACCGTCTTGAGCATAGGATCATAGGGTTATCCCCCAGGCCAGATGTTCTCCCTTTCCCCCTTTCTGGTAAGATCCTCCTGAGGAAGAACATGGTCTCTGTGAGCACTTTTCCTCCTGCACACTGGTGACTGCAGGAGTCAACAACATGGCAAGAGAACCCCACTCGTCTGTGGAGGCTTTAGGAACACTACCCCTGTTTTCAGTGCAAGGAGCAGGCCACTCATAGTCTTGCCACAGATGCTCGCGCTCTCTTGCTTACCTTTGCTGGGAGGATTTCCCCTCCACTAAGAGGTGTCAAGACCCAGCCATCTACAAGGCACCTTTTCACATTAGGAGAAAGCCTGTCTCCTGCATATGTAGGGCTTCCTGGCCACGGTCAGCTCAGCAGGCGCGAACCATGCCAAGCCCAGGAGGCTGAGTCACAGGCCAGCCCTCTCTGAGACTGTCCATTCTTAGGGGCTTAGTGCTGAATGCCGTGAATGGAACAGGGGAATGGATGGTTGGATCTGAAAATGGTACCAGTGACTTCTAATCTCCTGGGTATTCAGGCTTCCTGATTTTGCCTTTTCACATGGCAAGTCTTACCTTATCCTCTCACAGTTGGGATTGTACTCCTTTCAACTTTGTTTTCATTATAAATACTTGGCTTTTCTTAGGTACAAGTCAATACCTGATCATTTTGTTAATTGATAATTTTAATTTAAAAATTGCATTTTTATATATGTGTATATATGTGTACACATATAAATATTTTTTACCATGTGCAAATTGCAACAGCTAATTTTCTGATTTCCTATTTTATAATGATACATGAGCTGTGGAAATATAAAGCTTTTATATTCTAGAAATAATTTATTTTAAAAGAACATTTTTACAATGGTTTCATCTCATTTTTAGAAAATGAAAGCACAGTAAACGGTGGGACCTAATTCCTATGAGCAAACGGGAGTAGACAACCCTTGTGGGCCATTGTATTGTGGCATCTAGCCATGCCTGGTGCTGGGTGGCTCTGTAATGTGGAGCATTCTGAGGTCTGATCAGTGGTGCAGACTGGTGCCCTCCATGTCAAACTTGAGTCTCGTGTAATGTGGCAGGAGGGGCTGTGGGATCCACTCCTTCTCTACCTCACTGCTGCACAGTCCCATCCCTCCCAACCCCTAATGGCTGGGACGGGAGCTGCCACAGATCGTTGTCAACAGAATCTTTACACTCTGCAACAGCAGCAGTTTTCAAGTATTATCTAGAACAACTTGTACCTATGTGGAGCTGGAGTTAGTGAGCAGAATATGTAGGGAACCTTTGGGGGGATCTTCAGAACTACAGTCCTTGTTGAGGATCTCAGAGGGCTCCCAGAAGTCCTAAGCATGGGAAAGGTGAAAGTGACTGACTTTTCAAACAGAGCTTTAGTCATAGCGTATCATATAGGTAAGTGTGTGGAAGGACCCCGTTTCTAACAGATTGGAGGGAGAACAGGAACAAGGTACTTCCGTAGTCTTACCTTAACTTTGAAGGTTCTAATCACTACATTTTATTGATAGTACTTTTAAACTTATTTTTTAAGCTAGTTTTTTTTTTAAACTTTGGGGGACCAGGAATAAAAGGATCTTCTTTTATTTATGATATAGGCAAGTAGAATTTAAAAAAAAAAAAAAGCCTCTGATTCTTAAGTGTCCTCTCAATAGATTATATTTTATTCAAAATTTTATCTGCAGCCCAAACCATTTTGTGAGCCCCCATGATTGGACACATACTGTTGAACTAAACTAAACACCATGTATTGGCTCTCCAAAGTTCCATCCCCTTTCTTTAGAATATACATAAGCCACATGGTGAATTTACATAAGAAGATGAAGGTATGGTGTTGTTCAGCCTTCAGAATGACTTGAATCTGGAAATGTCTTTATGAGCCGAAAACAAAACTTTGTCTTAACATGTCAAGCGTTAACAGTTCCTGGTGAACAGTTTGTGTGTCTGCTGCTCTGGTTCTGAAACACGTTTGTATATAGATAGAAAAGTTGGCATCAATTTTGTTTAAATAAAGCAACTTTTAAGGTCTCTACTGCTCTGTCATTTCAGATAGTAAGCAGGGTGGCTCTAAAGTACTGCTGTTCTGAGTACATTGCACACAGTACAAGCATCAAATTCTACCAGAATATTAGACCCCTTGCTATAAATGCAAACCCTCATGTGAAGCCACATGGCCTTCTGTTTGGCTTCACTTCACAAGAGTGATTTGAACAGCATAGCAGGTTTCCTACCATGCCCAGTGGCCCATGCGTCCTCTCACAGAGGGAGATTCGAAATGAGAAAGTTCTGTTTGTCAGGCAGCTTCATGAGGTGGTGGCTGCACTGCATTACTGCTCTCTTTGGTCCAAATTAGCAGTGCTTGTACCTGATTTCCATATAAAACTGAGAAGGACTATGATTTTCTTAAAAGTATTCCTGATCTCATTGTTCCCTTGCCCCAGAGAGAATTGAGCTTGAAGTAAACATTGGCCAGGTGAGAAAACACGTGAGTTACTTCCATTCAACAATTTTGCTAATAGATTTCATTACCTAATTGAAATGAGTCATCCTCTGGAGGGTTCCTGTATTCACTCCATTCCCTTAGATGGTTCCCATCTCAGACATCTTAGGATGAGATGGCATGCCTGGGAAGCTAGGTTTCAGCCACCACAGCACTGTCCAGTAGAAATATGACAAGCCAGTGTGAGGCCACCTGTCAGTATTTTCAGTATACACAGATTATTATATGCTTTTTTTTTTTTATAATTTAAGAATCTGGTATGTTCCTATATTTCAACTTTGATACTAAAACTTTCAGTTGTAGCCAAAGACAGTTTTATCAAAGCACTTAACGAGTTTAATGGAAAGTTGTTTTCACAATGCTTCTATCTTAAATGGTTACCACAGCCACATTTCAAACTGAAGCTCCCAGGATCCTGTAACCCGGCACTTCCACACAGATGTCTATAATCTGACACATTGTCATTTATACTTACACACACTAATACGCATGCTAAACCTTTTTTTTTAAGACATGGAGAAGAGGGAACCTCAACATATTTAGCAGTACCAAAGTTGAGGATCTATATT